GAGAAAAGGGAAATTGCATGGAAATGAAGAAAGACCCTCATTGCTATACAAAATTACATATAAGAGGTTGTGAGGAGAATGGGAAAATAAACAAGGAGAGAAATGAATTACAGTAGATGGGGTAGAGAGAGAAGATGTGAGGGAAGCGGAGGGGGATAGGAAAGTTAGCAGAATACAACAGTTACTAATAGGGCATTATGTAAAATTGTGGATGTGTAACCGACATGATTCTGCAATCTGCATTTGGGGTAAAAATTGGGAGTTCATAACCCACTTCAATCGAATATATGAAATATGATATGTCAAGAGCTTTGTAATGTTGTGAACAACCAATAAAAAAATAAATAAAATAAAATAAAAAGATTTTCAACAGTATTTATATGACATCTATAATTTTAAAGCTTATTTTACAGTAAACTGAAATAAAAAGAAATCTGCAAAATTGTCAGCATTAATTGTTGCACATTGCATTTTTTAAAATATTATTTTTAGTAATGAACACAACATTTTTAAGAATATTTTTTTAAGTTGTTGATGGGCCTTTATTTTATGTGGTGCTGAGAATTAAACCCAGTGCTTTACAAATGCTAGGCAAGCGCGCTACCACTGAACCACCACCGCAGCCCACAACATTTTTATTTATTTATTTTTATGTGATGCTGAGGATCAAACCCAGTTTCTCATACGTGCGAGGCAAGCACTCCACCACTGAGCCACAACCCCAGCCCTGCACACTGCATTTTAATGAAATATTTTCCTATAAAGTGATTGTGTTGAGAAGTATAAGCCATGTTTTGGTGGGGATTGGATGGACTCTATTCTTAAAAAAATAAAGCATTTTGACTCCGTTTGAAACACATGCATATGAATATACATGTATATGAAAATACATTACACCTTAGATTCTGATCCCTTCTAGTCCCTCTTGCCCCACAAAGTTGAAAATACCAGTTTCTTACCTTTTTCCCATTGATCTGACCTATATTTAGCTCTTCCAGTGATTGAAGTTGGCACAATTCGATAGGAAAATATACAAACTGATTGCTTGAGAAGTTTAATTTCTGGATTCTTTTTAAATTACATATCTCTGAAGGTATTGTCTGTAAATGGTTTTCTGAAAGATCAAGTACTTCCAAATTTTTTAACGTACACAGTTCTCTGGGGAAAGTTTCAAAGGTATTAGAGCATAAAATAAGTATGTGGAGTGATACCATATTGGAAATAGATGATGGAATTTTCCCTATTTGGTTTTTACCAAGATCCAGGTAATTGAGATTAATAAGAGAACATAAGTACTCAGAAAATGTGAGGAGTTTGTTTTCATTAAATTCCAAATGACGCAGTTGTTTACTGAAAGATATATCCATGGGTATTTCTGAAATAGAATTTCCATTACAACTCAAATAATAAAGTAACTCTAGTGCACAGAGTCCTGCTGGAAAATATGTTATTTTGTTATAACTCAATTCAACCTTAGTAATTTTTTTACAGTTTTTTACTTCAATGGGAACATGTGTGATTATATTTCTTGAAAATTCCAGGCTATGTAAATTATTAAGATGAAAGATACCTTCAGTTATTTTTACTATATTATTTCTGTTTACATGGAGTATTTTTAAATATTTAAGCTTATGGATGTTCTTAGGAAGTTCTGTTAATTGATTATCATTAAGACTAAGGCATTCCAACAACACACAGCAGGAAATTTTCTCTGGCATATTTTTCAGTAAATTGTTATCAAGTACAAGAATCCTCAGTTCCCTGAAGTTCTCAATTTTGTGTGAAATATCTTCCAATTTATTGTCAGCCAGCTGGAGTTCTTTTATTTTGCGTAATTGAAAAATTTCTACTGCCAAAAAGGTAAGTTTATTGTGAGCTAATAAAAGTTTTTCTAAATTTTTAAGTTCCCTAATTTCTTTTGGCAAACTGCCTATTAGGTTTCCAGTAAGATTTAGTGAAATTAATTTTGGAAGAAAACATAGAGCTTTAGGAAATATTGTTAATTTATTATATTCCAGATTGAGCACCCTCATGTTTTGCAAACTAGGCAGAGTGTCTGGTATATGTCTTAACTTATTTTTACCCAAATTTAAAATTTCTAAGTTTTTAAGATTTTCTAAACCAGAAGAAGGAAAATTATCAATGTAATTGTTATTTAAAAGGAGTTGCCTTAAATTCCCAAGTTGTGAAATTTCTTTAGGTATTTGTGATATTTGATTATGACTGACGTTTAATATTCTTAAATTATAAAGTAGCTGAATTTCAGGTGGGAGTGATGATAACGCATTTTCTTGCATGGACAGAATTTCAAGGCCTAGCATGTCACCTGAGCCTGCCACTTGAAAAGTTTTTATTTGGTTTTTGTCTAAGTACAGATATTTTACATATTTGATTTTTAAAATGTTCTTAGGGAATTCTTGTAAACCCTTGGCCTCAAGGTTAAGCGTAAAGTCATCTGACTTAAGGTCAGATGACTGATTTTCTTCAGGGACTTGTGAACTAATTTTTTCTGCTTTTTCACGTGATTGGAAGTGAACGAAAACCTGATAGTCGGAAATTGTCTCAGTTACGGGTTGTGATGAACTTTGTGAAGTTGCTGGTTTTGACAGTAGGCCGGCATCACTAGTTCTTGTTTGAGAAAATTCCAATTTTTTTTGTTCTTCATTTCTGTTAGTCTTGCTTTCAGAGGAAGAACCTGACTGTAATGTATTTTCTATAGGATATGTTTCATAAATCTGGTTGAAAGGTTTCCAGTAGTAAGAAGCTTCATTTAACTCATCTGATGTTTTGTTAATAAATTGAGGCTGCTCTGCTGACTGCCTTGATGGATTAAAGATATCTTCTACTTCTGCTGAAGTGTCCTCCTCTTCAGACATCTTATTGCTGGTATGTTTTGTACCAATTCAAGATTATAACTATAATTTTCAGATCTTTTTCTTTGAACCTACAAAACAAGTGTTGATATTAAAATAAGAGGTATAATAAATGTCAAAATTACAAATGATTTGTAACACAACTATTTCATTTCACAGGAATAATTTAATAAATATAAAATACATTCATAACAAACTATTTTATATATGATTCCTGGTTAAAGATGGTTTATTGATTGTATAAGTTTTATCACATATTACTTTGGTTTTTTTTTTTGGTACCAAGGATTGAACCCAGAGTTGGTGAACCACTGAGCTACATCCCTGGCCCTTTTTATTTTTTTATATTGAGACAGGGTGTTGCTTTGTTGCTTAGGCCCTCACTAAGTTGGTGAGGCTGGCCTTGAACTTGTGATCCTCCCTAGCTATCACGTTACTCTTGAAATCACATTAAAATTATAGAAAAAGAATGAAAAAGATCAAAGAAAATAACAAGGAGACATAAAGCACTGAGAGAATTTAGCACATTTTTGAAAGAAAAGGGAGGGCCTGTGGCTTTAGCTCAGTGGTAGAGCGCCTGCCTCACATGTGTGAGGAACTGGGTTCGATCCTAAGCATAAATAAATAAAGATATCTATCTACAACTAAAAAAATATTAAGAAAGAAAGAAAAGGGATATCTAGTGGCCTACTGTGTTGCATGTAGAAACTACCATTCACATGGTGAACATGAGGTTTGCATGTGGTACTAACAAATTCAAATGTTATGGCAATTTTCCAATGGGTGGAAGTAAAACGTCTTAAGGAAGAGGATGTTTTTTGTAGGAATCCCTTTATGCCTTGGCATGGTAGTTACTTCCTATATTTATAAATTTTGCAGTAACAGAACTATTAGTATGACTATTTACCTTCTCAGTTCTCCCATATTCTTGTAAGCAACTCTCTATATTAAATCCTATCTATTAAACTGGTATGGTTTTAATATTTCAAAAAGTCTCCCAGAGCGCAGGGGTTGTGGCTCCGTGGTAGAATGCTTACCTAGCATGCACAAGGCACTGGGTTCAATCCTCAGCATCATATAAAAATAAAATAAAGATTTTATGTCTACCTAAACTAAAAACTAAATAAATATATATATATATATATATATATATATATATATATATATATATATATATATATTTAATGTCTCCCAGAGAATACAAAAAGGGAATTTTTTTCCAGGTTTTTTAATGAGGTGGTAGTAATCTTGGTATCAGCACCTAAAAAGGACGATATGAAAAAGGCAATTTTATTCAAGCACAAAAATGCAAAAATTCTAATCATTAAAAAACTGTTCTACATATTACAAATCTAGTAATATATAAAAAGGCTGATATTTCATGACTAACTTGAATTTTTCCCAGAAATGCAAGATTGCATTTTAACATTAGAAAATGAGTGTAATTTGCCACATTAAGAGATTAAAGGAGAAACTGTGGGTGTAGCTCAGTGGCAGAGCATGTGCTTATTAACATGCATGAAGCCTTGGGTTCAATACCACATCAAAACAAACAAAAAATAAATTAAAAGAGAAGGACCATATAATATAACAATATATGCAGAAGCACTTGATAAATTACATTTTCTTTTTTTTAAAATTTTTTTTAATATTTATTTTTTAGTTCTTGGCGAACACAACTTCTTTGTATGTGGTGCTGAGGATCGAACCCAGGCTGCATGCCTGCCAGGCAAGCACTATACCGCTTGAGCTACATCCCCAGCCTGATAAATTACATTTTCATTATTTTAAAGAAAATTTATAGCAAACTAGGAATAGGTAGAAATTTCCTTAATCTACTAAAAAACATCCATTAAAATTCTGTAATAAACATTATACTCAAGGTGAAACTCTGAAAACTTTTCTTTTTTTCTTTTTTAAATATTTTTTAGTTATTAATGGACCTTTATTTTATTATTTATTTATAGGCGGTGCTGAGAATTGAACCCAGTGCCTCACGTATGCAGGCAAGTGCTCTACCACTGAGCCACAACCAGAACCCTGAAAGCTTTTCTTTGAGCTTTGAACCACCAAAAAGTTGCTCTCATAATTCTAGTCCACATTGTACCAGTGGCATAAGGCAAGAATAAAGGGTCTAAGGTTTATACAAGAAGAAATAAAATTGTCATTAGTCACAGATAAAATAGAAAATCCAATAGATACAGATAAATTTTTAGAATCAGAAAAAACATTAAGTAATGTTGCTAAATACAAAGTAAATACAAGTCAATTTCCTTTTTATTAAAAAATCTTTAGTTGTAGATAGACATAATATCTTTATTATTACGTGGTGCTGAGAATTGAACCCAGTGCCTCACATGTGAGAGGCAAGTGCTCCACCACTGAGCTATAACCCCAATTTCATACTAGCAAAAGGGAGTTAGGAAATGAAAGTTCAAAAAGGCACTATTTACAATCAACAAGAAATATCAAATACCCAGGAATATATTGAAAAACCAGCCTCTACCTCAGAGCAAAGCCTGTCCAAGGAAGGGGGTGTGATCCTTGTCCTTGGAAAGACACAGAAAATTGGAAGAGAGTCAAGAGATTAGATTTTTTGTTCCATTGGCCCAAGTTAGGTTATATACCCAACCCTGAACCAATGACTGGTTCTGTCATTTTAGATAGTGCTATATGGCTCATCCTAGAGCCTGGGCTAGCATTTGCTTCCCCTAAATCACAGGAGCTCTATAGGGGAGATAAAGCAATCCAAAGGAAGATCAGATGCTGGAGAGGCAAATAGGATGTCCTCTTCTTAAACCCTTAGCCACTTCTTAGAGATAAATATTGGTGAATATTACCCATATACCTTTTTTTCTGGGATAAAATTGAGACTTTAATATGTAGCAATCATTGTCCAATAAGGCAGCCACACGTGGTTATTTCAATTGAAATTAATTAAAAGTTAAATAAAATTACAATTCAACTCCTCAATCACACCAATCATATTCCAAGTGCTCTATAGCTACAAGTGGTGAGTGACTCCTTTTTGAGCAGTGTGGATATATATCTAACATTTCCATCATTATAGACTATATGTAGGCATTAACATGCACTGATTTGAAAACATCATTTGAAAAACTTTGTGGCAGAAAAATACTCCATTGAAAGAGGTGCCATCAATTAGCCATTTCCGTAGAAGCATTTAAAAAGGCTGCACAGCCAAATAACATTCTGGAAATGTATATGAGAAAGTCTTAATCTGTTAATTCTCACAAGTTTCAAAGAGTCTCATTTATCTGCGTGTGGTGGTGCTGGCCTGTAATCCCAGTGGCTCCAGAGTCCCCCCCCCAAAAAAAAAAAAAAGAATATCATTCAAAAAACCAATATTGCCAATATGGTAGGAAACTCAATCTAAACTCTGTTTTAACAAATATTAGTATAAGTTATGAAAGGTTAATAAAATAGGTACTTGTCACTCCGTTTTTCTATATGCTTAACAAAACACTGTTGAAATCTTAATAACTGTTTGCTAATCTTGTTCCCAGAATGTGCTGTCCCCAACTGTGAACTGTTTGCTAATCTTGTTCCCAGAATGAGCTGTCCCCAACTGCCAAACTACAAAATGTAACTTCTCTCCCTGCCCTCTCCAAGGAAAGCATATAAGCTCTGCTTAAGCTGTTCTCAGGGCTCTATCTCTCTTTGCTAAAGTGAGCTCTGAGCCCCAGCATGCTGGTCTCCAAATAAACCCTCCCTTCTGCTGTTGCATAAGACAGTCTCTTGTGGTCTCTTCCTCTGAGTTGGACCCTTACAGTTAAATAAAGACCCTATGAAATTTATTGCTTATCCTAAAGACATGGTCATTCAGGGAGCCACAGACTTTTTCACATTGTGCAGCATCAGCAAATTGTTTCCTAGGTGTGTGTGTGTGGGAAGGCCACTTAATAGAGGGGCGGGGTGCTGAATGCAAACACGTGAGAAGAGGTGCCCAGAAGCATGAAGAGGGGAGTGAGTGTTGGAGGAGCTGGGAGAAAGCAGAGAACCTAGGTGGGGGGTCCCAGGAGGGAGGAAGTAAGTGGCAGTGCTGGGCCTCACCTGGGGCTCCTTCGCTGGGTCCGCAGGGGGCGCGTGTGGCAGAGGGTCCGGCGATGGCAGCAATGGCTGAGGCGGCTGCCCTGCCCAGACACTGGCTCGGGCCCTGGCTCCCACAGCCCAGACCCAGAGAGGCCGGGCCGGGGTTCAGCCGCACCCTCTGCGCGTTTGTGAGCTGGCCCTGGGTCACTTGAGGATGGCCGCCGGGAGGCGCGGGGGCCCTCATTCAGTTCCCCAGGAGGGAGGTGCGCCGGCTGCCAGTCGCCGGTGGCGGACCCCAAAGGCGCGTCAGAGTCCTCAGTTTGTTGACTGGAATCTCCCCGGAGACTCACAGCCCGCCCAGAAGAGGCCGATTTAGTCAGTCTGAAGGGTAGCCGGGGCAGCAGGTTCTAAGGAGCAGCCAGGACGCACGACCTTGCTCGGTCCTCAGGGTCCCGGGTTAAGCCACCCGAGCACGGCTTCGTGGGATTCGTCGCTGTCCCAGGTGCTTCAGGGGACGTTATCTTCCCGCCTGATGGCGGAGTCTGCGAACATGATTAACAGCAGGCGGTGCAGGCACAGTGAAAATGACACCTAGTGACGCAGGACCCAGCTTTGCACTCTGCAGCCGAACCTCACGGAGTCCACCCTCCTTTCTGTTGGTTACTTGGGAGTCACTCTTCAGGCACAATCAGGCTTCCAAACCACAAACCCGCCTGAGGGCGAGCCGTCTGGGCGCAGGAATGACCGAGCACGCTCCTCTCGGGGAGGTGAACATCGTGCGGTGATTTAAAAGGCATCCCTGAAACCTCGACGGTCTGGAGTTTGGGAAGCAGACCTGCCCTAGCGGCTTATTGGGGAGCGTGGGCCAGGAGAGGTAATTGCGCTTTGAAGAAGCTGCGCTGGTAATTGTGACCCTCCTTGTTCCCGTCACCTAAACAGCTGGATAAGTC